CTGGTGCAGCACTGAGGGATGCTCGTAAGGCGTCCATGCAGCGGGGCTGGGGACGCCCTGCCCATGGTAGGGATGCAGTCAGTGGGCACAGAGCGGGGGGGACACAACTTGGTGGTCTTGGAGGTTTGGCCAACCTTCATGCTCCCATGATTCTAAGCCAATGGGGTGATGGCACTGTGTGGCTGCTGCAGGGCATTCAGTGCAGAATTTGGTAAAGGCCACAGCATCCTCAGGTGTGTGTGTGTGCATATGTATGTGTGTGTGTATGCACGTGCAGCTCAGCACACCCCAGCTTTATCACCCACCCATCTCCTCCCCCCGGCTGTTAGGGGCTTGGCTTTTATGTGTGACAATAAAAACGTTCATTGTGGCAAAACATCGGCCGGTCAAAAATGAGGCTGGTTAATTCCAGAGGATTGTTGGATTGTTTCATCTCAGCTCAACAGTAATAATGAATCTCTTTTACAAGATGAATTGGTGAACAGCCAGCTTCCTCCAGGGCAATTCCTGTGTAGTGTTGATCCCGCTGGAATTTACCTTGGAAAGGAAAAAAAAAAAAAAAAGAAGAAGAAAGAAAAGGTTTAAAACTATGAAATGCTCCTATTGCTAACAATGTGTTATTTAGCTCAGCCATTTACTGACTGTGTGCCGATGGGGCCAAGTCTTTTACAAAAGTGCTCACACAACACTTTTCTCCGAAGCCAGCAGCAGCCTACAAGAAATACGAGGTGCTCGCAAGCGAGTTATTATCCTCTTAGAGCCAAGAACACGATGGGCGCTCTCAGAATGCACTGAAAAATTAATGTGCTCTTGGCCTCTACCTCGGAAATGAAAAGGTCCCCACCGGAGCGCTGTGCAGTTGCTGTGCTCACTGCTCCGTGCCCGCTGAGTGTGGCTCCAACCCCCACGCTGCCTTCCCCACCACTGCCAACCAGTGCCAACCATTGCCAACCAGTCGCAATTAGTGTCAGCTAGTGCCAACCAGTGCCACTCAATGCCAACCAGTGCCACTCAATGCCAACCAGTGCCAACTATTGCCAACCAGGGCCACTCAATGCCAACCAGTGCCAACCAGTGCCGGCCAGTGCCAATTAGTGCCAACCAGTTGGCTTCCCATTGGGCCGAAGCTCTGCAGGGCTTTGTGTTGTGGTGGCGGTTTGTGTTGTTGTTGTCGTTGCCTTTTTTCATTGTTTTTCTTTCCACGAGGGATTAAAGCCAAATGAGTTTTTATCTCTTTCTGCCGTTTTCCACCGGGATTCAGAGAAGCGCCGGCGCCTGAGAACAGAAAACCGATAAACATCACAACGCAGCCACTCTGAGCGCTGCTTTATCTGTGCCATTTGAAGTGATGACACCCTTCAACCAGATAAACAAAGCAACGAGGAGGGGCATGTTGTTAGATGGAGTGTGTAACGAACAGAATACTCCCTGCCACATTACAGACAATGGTAATGCACAATCATTCATTATAACTCAATTACAGTAATTAAAACTGGTGGGATGTAGAGGCAGAACAGACGAAGGGAGTAGTGCCAACAGAATTTACACTCCGTGTCATCAGCTAGCGATAACAACAGCTGATGGTGTCCCAGAGCCTCCTCCTGCCATCTGTTCCCAGAGTCGGCAGTGGGGGATGGCGTGAGTGCCACAGCAATGCGGTGTGTGGGGGCACGTTGGGGTCCTGCTGGCTGCAATGTGTGCTCACCACGGGCACCCCAGCCTGTCCCCAGGGAGAGAGAAAGGGGCACCCCATCAAGAGGGCAGCACGGTGCAGATGGCACGGGCACCATCGTAGGGAGTGCAGCCTGCAGTGGGCTGTTTGCGCCCGGGGGGGGGGGGCATGGCACTGTGTGGCATGGTAGCACAGAGCACAGCTTGACATGGCACAGCATGGCATAGAACAGCCCTGGAAGGCACAATATGGCACAGTGTGGTTCATTACTGTATGAGACAGCGTAGCACGGCATGGCGTGAGAAGGGCCCAGCATGGCACAGCACAGCACAGCACAGGAAAAGAGCATGGCATGGCATGGCTCATCACAACATGGGGTGGTACAGCACTGCATAGCATGGCATGGAAGGCACAGTATGGCACAGCATGACACAACTCCTCATGGCATGGGATAGCAGGCTATCATGGCACAGTTTGTAATATGGCACTGCATGGAATGGAATGGAACAGCATGGGATGGCATGGAATGAGATAGGATGAAAGAGGATGGCGTGGCGTGGCACAGCACGGTTCATCATAGCATGGGATGGCACTGCACAGCATTGAATAGGATGGGATAAAATGGCATGGTATGGTACAGCACAGTGGAGAAAAACATGCACGGCATGGCACAGTTTGTCACAGCATGGGGTGGCACAGCACAGCATCACATTGCACAGGAAGGCACAACGCGGCATGGCACAACAACACAGCTCATCCTGGCATGGGATAGCACAGGGTGGCACAGCTTGGAATGGGATGGAACAGCGTGGGATGGGACAGCATGGCACGGCGTGGCACAGCTTGCCACAGAACAGCTTCGCTACACCAGCAGCAACACCCACTGCTGCCCTTCAGGGTCAACACACAGCATAGCAAGAGCCACGTTCCCATGGGGTGGCCGTTCCCAGCCATCTCCAGCCCCCCCAGGACAGGGCACACATGGGCACTCCATCTGCACAGGGCTGTGACGCAGTGGGTGCCAGCCAGGGGTGCGGCTGGGCGGCAGCTGAGAGCCACCCCGCTTATTTCCTTCATTGTATTTTTGAAGGCAAGCTAACAACCTCTGCCCCAGCGCCAGGCCCTAAACACTGCAATTTGCTAATTATTGGTTACTCAAAGGGTAATTTCGCCTGACAGCTGCCCCAGAAAGCCAGGCTGGGGAGGAGGAGGAGCACCCAGACACAGAGCCTGCGGGAGAAGCCGATCCCAGCAAATGCAAAGTGGCTGGAGGGACCCACGGGACATGGGGCAGGGGACCAGCTCAGTGTGATGCTCTGCACAGAGCCACTCCTTGTGCACGAGAGCACTGCTCACAAAAGCAGGGAAAGCATAGGCAACCCAAAAGGTGCTGCGTGCTGGGGCCTCGAGCATCCCACAGTGCCCACTGCACCGGCCTGGCATGTGGATCTGCCTGTAGGCAGAAGTCAGAGCAGCATCAGCAGTCAAGCACCAAAATATATAGATAAAGAGTCCTTATGAATTTATAATACTAAAAAAAAAATTAGCGTGCGAGGCTGGAAATGCTTTAATTACAACATATGCACATCTAGGGCCTTGCTGATAACGCAAATGGAAATTGGAGAGGCCGCGCGTGGCTCCAGCACCTCCTCCATCAGCACTATGGGAAGGTTGTAGTCAAACCCAATTAATTGCAAAGGGCAGCAGTGGGCTGGGGCTGCTGCAAGCAGCGCTGGGTGCCGCCGGGCCAGGCAAAAGCCTCCAGCTCTGTGCGCTCCCAAATCTTACAACAAAAGATTTCTTGCAATTTTCATCTTTTAATGGTCCCCCGTGCCAGCCCCTCATTCCACCCAGCTTCAAATCAGATTTAAATGCACTCATAACCATTTACTGCCTTACATTATCGAGAAGCCGAGCAGTTAGAGTGCAGCTCCAGCTTTTTATTTCTCCCTCGCAGCAGACTCTGTCATGTTCAATCCATCACGGGGAGAGCCCCGCAGGACGCTGCATATGTCCTGGTTCACAGGATGCGCTGGGGCTGTCGGGCACCGTGTTGGGAGGCAGAGGAACGTGCGATGTCGGCGCTGGGTGGGTTCAGAGTGCAGCGGTGGCACCGTCCCCAAAGCATCACCTGGCAGGGGCACCACACCGATGTGTCACCCAACAGCAGAAGACAAACCCCATGGTGGTGACTTCATGGCGATGGCTCCAGGCTCGCTGCGAGAAGGAAACAGCCAAGTTGGGGTCGCGGCTTCGCTCAGCTCCCAGCAAAGCAGGCAATGCCACGCTGCGTCCTCAGGGAACGGCAGCGACCAAAGCATCCAGCATGGGGACACGGATGAGTTGACAGCTGGGGTCTGCATTCCACTGCACGGTTCGTTCTCCAGCAGAAATCCACAGGGCGATGGGATCATCCTGCAGCACCCAGGAGCTGTGTCCTGGGGATGGGTCTGCCCAGAAGGGCCCCACACCCCACGCCCCCCATGCAGGATGGCTTCTTGTTACGCTCGTTGCTTTTACTAACAAGAAAGATGGTTTATAGACACTGTGCCTCCATTTGAGCTTCGTTACATTGACTTTTTATTCTTTTTTTTTTTTTCTCTCTCTCTCTCCTTTTGTACAAAAGCCAGTTGTAGTTATTAACAGCTGTACAGGTTCTGCTACATACTTTGGTGTCAAGTGGAGAGGTCCGACTCAGCGCCCCGCCGCCAGCTCTGCTACGCACAGTTCCTCAGGGGGGGTTAGAGGAAAACAAAGCACAAATGCAGGCAAAGCCTGGCCTGGAGGCACAGCCCAGGGGTGCTCCAAGCCCTTCCAGTGCCACACAGGGCAGAGGATGCTTCATAGGGCTGTGCATGCAGCCCAGCACAGCACGCAGAGCTGCAGGATAGGGCTGTGCAGTCCTTTAGCTCAGCCCGACCCCCCTTCAAACCATGCAGTTTCAAAAAGCATTTTGCCCCTTTCCTCATTGGCTGATGAGCGCACAGATCGATCCCAGCTCCTCAATCCAGGCTCACCGAGAAGCCACGCAGGGCAGCCACCCATCAGCCTGGGTTTCCTCCCTTGGGTTTTGCACAGAAAAAGGCAAAAAAGCTCAGAAGCACCAGGTTGAAGGGGAAAGGCCATTTCCCACCACAGCTCCTCTCTCTGCCCCAGCACATCTCCCCAGCAGCCACAGCGGTGCCCACATCACCATCACCCTCCTCAGTCCTCCACTGGGTTACAACAGGGGGAGGGGAAAAAAAAAAGAAAACAATTAAAAAATAATCCATAAAAAACGTAGTATCAAAATCCTCTTCCGTACGCTACAATACAGGGTGAGCGCTTCTGCTACACAAATACTTTTATTTCCCGTTTTCTTGTTCTTTTTTAAACCCTTTAGTACAAAATGCTGCAACGCAGGCCTGTGCAGGGATGGGTGTTGCTTCTTGGGGACCTCCAGACCAGCAGACACGAGCCCATACAGCCACAGGACCCTGCCCAAGCCCCTTTTCCCCCCACCACACACAAACCCTACTTGTTAGTCAACTTTGCTTTAAAAAAACTGTATTTTAAAGGTTATCAATTCTAATTCTTTACTTTCATTTGAATACAAAACACATTAAGTTGCTATTATCTTTCGTGGCTCCCTGAGCTGAATTTTAACTATGCTTTCTTTGAAATCACTCCTCGTTGCTTTATGTCCGAAGACCAAGAAGGGCTCGAGCGGATGATTCCCGGATCGTGGGCTTCCCCTTTTTCTTCAAACATACGAGCACAAAAAAAAAAAAAGGAAAAAAAATAAAAGAAAAATCCATATAAAAACGTGATTGTGTCGCCGACGTCCGGCAGCAGCCGGGGATCCGGCCGAGCTGAGCACAGCCCCGACAGCGTCCGCACACACAACACCGAACAACGCACGGGGACCACAGGAGGAACGACTTCACCAGAGGACACTTTGCTCAGTCCGGTTACGCGCTGCACGTCCGGGTCGCATCCCAAATGGATGCAATGGGGAGGAGGAGGAAAGGAAGGGGGGAAGGATGGGGAGAAAAAAAAAAATAATAATAATAATAAAAATTGCCACCACCAAAACCATCAGTGGAATACAATTACAGCAGACGAAAATACACACCTAGTGTACTGGGAGGGTCCCCCACCCTTCCCATGCTATGTACTAGTCCAGTATTTACAATTTTCACAAGTCTTAATGCGGGATGCACCAAAAGAAAAACAAACAAAAAAAAAATGTCACGTTAAAAAATAAGTCCTTTATAGTGCCACCAAAGCGCAGATGGAAAGAACCAGGAAACCGAAAAATAAAAAGATCAAAAAAATGGAAAAAAAAAAAAAAAAAAAATAGCCCAAAACCCTAAAACCAAACCAAAAATTCGTTCAGGGCTTCGACGTGTGTGCCATGTTTGCAGACCTCCAAATAAATCCGTGTGGGTGCCGGGCGGGCAAACAGAGGTGCAGCTCCAGCCAGCGATCCCATCCCAGTGCTGCCCCGAGCGCTGCTCCAGCGCCGAGCCTGCGGCACCGCCACTGCGTCCCCTTAGTAGATGACCTCGTAGACTGTGGCCTTCTTGTCCCCAGAGCCCGTGACGATGTATTTGTCATCTGCTGAAATGTCGCAGCTTAAGACCGACGAGGATTCCTTGGACTGAAGGTGGAGGAATGGGGAGAAGAGATGGAAACGGGGAGGAGAAATAAAAAAAATGAAAAGGAAAATGGATCAGTGTGGTTTCTTGATGGTGCTGTAAGAACCAGGCGGCCCCCGCGCCCCCAGCAAAGCAGCCCCTACCTGGAAGATGCTTGCCCCATAGGGCGTCCTCCATGCGTTGAGCAGGTTGTCCTTCCCCGTGCTCACAAACCATTTGCCTGCAGACGTGGGAACGGCATCAGCACCCAATGCAGCCAGCAGAGCCGCGTGGCCAGACAGCTCCCTGCTCCAAGCTCACATCGCACATAGTTTGGGCATTGTAGGGAATTGGAGCCATTGGAAAAGCAGGAGGTTTTCTGGAGGTGCCTGGCCCTTCACACACCCCCCACCCCACGTGGTTCCCAAGGGTAGGCAGAGCAGCACTGCTGCACAGCAGTAACGCCGTGGCACTGCCACCACTCACCACAATAGGCGAACTTGAGGGAGAGGACGCAGCTCTCGTGCAGGTGCAGCTGGTACTTGTCAGGCTTGGTGTGGTGCAGCACTTCCACGTTGCTGCTCTCCATGCCCACTGCCAGCCACTCGCCCGTGGGGCAGTACCCCAGCGAAAAGATCTGGGGGCACAGAACAGGTTGGCATCTGCAAGCACGCATGGCCCCGCAGCATCCCAAGCCCTGACGCCAGGATTTGACAGTGGGAGAGCCCAGCTGGGCAGGGGAGAGGAGGTGAGCATCCACTGCCAGCTCTTCCTTCACCTCGGTGCAATTATACGCAAAGCTGCACCTGGGCATGGACTCCAGCACAAACCCAGAGCCTGCAGCCCTCTGCTTGGTTTTAATGGGACAGCTGTGCCCACAGAGCTGACAGCAAGGTCAGTGAGTCTGAGAAGCAGCAGCCTGGCAGGCTGGAAGGGACGTGGCCCTGTCCTCCTAAACATCCCCTTGCCATTTCTGATGCTGAAACATGGGGAGCCAAGAAAAGGCAGCACAGCTGGCACATCCAGAATAGGAAACCTCAGGGAAGACAGCAAGGCTGACAGAGCTCCAAGTTGTGGCTGCTATGGGCTGGAAACCACAAGGACATCCAGCTTTGCAATGCCACGTGGTACCCTATGCAAGCATTGCTTTCTTACTAGCAGCCCAATCTTGCACCAAGCTTTGTTGAAAAAGCAACAAAAGTGGGGCTAAATCCAGAACCAGAGAGCCTTACTGCCTCAAACACTCCTGCACTGCACCCAAGGCACCTGGAACATGCACACACACAGCCAGGCAGTGGCGTGCAGAGCACCCATCCAGCAAGAAGAGCTCCATCACCACACTGAGCTCCTGCAACCCTGCCCACCGATGGACAGCCCCTCCATAAGGGCTGCACGAGGCCAGGACCTTCCTGAGGGCCCTGTGCCCACCTGGGAGGTGAAGTCGTGCTGCTGCAGCTGCCGCCCTTCCCGCAGGTCCCAGGAGCGCACGGTGTTGTCCAGTCCCCCTGTCCACAGCTTCGTACCATCGTGTGAGATGTCTATGCAGCTGGCACCGTCTGTGTGGCCTTGGAATTGCCTTCGAAGAAAAAAAAATAAAAAACAGAATAATAATTCACATCTAGAATGGCAAAACGCATGGCACACCCCACACAGGTAGCACTGGGGATGGATGCTATGAACACACTGTGCTCGGTGTTTGTCTGCTCATGGCTCTGCTCCACTGCAGCATCACCAGGTGCATCAACACCCAGGTGGCCCCTCTGTGGCATTCCCCACCCCAAGCACGCTGGAACCCCCCCACTCACCTGACCAGGGTCTGGTTGTGCAGGTCCCACACGGCGATGTTGCCGTCGCTGCAGCAGGAGAAGCAGACTTTGGCGTCGGGGCTGATGGCCAACGCGTAGCAGGCGGGCGCCGAGGAGGTGAGCTCAGCCTTGATGCGGGGTGTGGGGGAGGCCAGGTCCCAGATGGTGAGCGTGCTGGCCTCCCCCCCAACGATCAGCGTGCGGCCGTCGGGAAGCAGCTTGCAGGAGCGGATGTAGTTATCCCTGTTCTGCAGCAGGAAGAGAGGTGGAGATGCTGTTAGTGCAAAGGGGGCCGGCGGAGAAAGCATGGGGATGGCTTGTGTCAAATACAGGGTGGCCAGCAGGACCAGGGAGGAACCTGGGGTTAGTCAGCCTAGAGAAGACTCAAGGGAGAGCTTACTGCTCCCTGTAACAACCTCGAAGGAGGCTGCAGCGAGGCAGATTGGTCTCTTCTCTCTTCTCCCAAGCCAGAGAACAAGAGGACATGCCCTCAAGTTGCACCTGGGGAGGCTTAGTTTGGATATTAGGGAGAATTTCTTCATGACAATGGTCACAAAGGCTTAGAACTGGCTGCACAGAGAGGCAGCTGAGTCCCCATTCCTGGAGGCATTTAAATAGCACACAGACGTTGCACATAAGGGCCTGGTTTAGTGGTAGACCTGGTGGAGGTGGAACAGCCATTGGACGTGACAACGTTAGGGCTTTTCCAACCCAGACAGAAGAAGGCTTGCTACAACAGCCCTACAAAGGCTCTCCATCACTCCTGGGGACCAGCAGCGACACAGCGCAGCTCACACACTCTGCAGGTCCTCCCACCCCGCGCCTTACCAGGCAGTCCAGCTGAGAGATGGGGCTCTTGCTGCCCGGCTGGCTGATGTCCCAGATCTTCACGCAGCCCTTGCCACCTGTGTACACGTGCCGGGTGGGGTTGCTGATGGTGACAGCACAAACCACCTCGCCGTGGCTCAGCGTGTTGATCTGCCGTGCGTGCCGGGGGATGCCGGGGCCAGCCAGGGCGTCGTGGGGAAAGGGGACTGGCTGCATCTGCCCATCAGCGCTGACGTGAAACGAGTAAGCTCTGTCAAAGAGGAGGAAAAACACAGAGGTGAGCCCCTAAAACAGCCCTGCTGCAAACGCAGCGTGCAGCTGGCACTGAAGCCACCGCTGCTTGGCCAACGCCGAGCGGTGTGGGCAGTCCCCTCCCGGGTGAAACCCCACAGAAAACCAAGCAGTGCTTACGGCTTCCCTCCGGGGATGGACGCCAGGCTGGTGGGCAGGCCAGGGGCCCGCATGGGCGGGTGTGGGTCGAAGCCAACCTGTTGAAAGATGTGAGGACGAGATGGGCACGGCAACTGTCAGCATCCCATCCACGAGCCCCGCAACCCCACAACCCCCTATTTGTCCTCAATATTGCTGCTTAATAGCTTAAAACGATTCCCCCTCCTCCCACACACACACACCAGGAGGGAATGGATTTGGAAATGAAACCACATTTTGGGCCTGCAAGAGTCAGCACCGGACTTGCTCACCCTCCCACATCACTCCCACATCCCTGGGACAGGCAGCCTGCACCCCAATGCAACTAAAATCCCAATCTCTGTATTAATTGCAAGCAGTTTAATTCCCATTTTGACCTTTTTTTTTTTTTTTTTTTTTTTTTTTAATCTTGAGGTATACAAATAAGGACTTATCAGTATCAGTACTCAGGGGAAGGTGGTCATGCAGGGAGTTACTCTCATGGGCAGAGCATAAGATATCCATCAACACCACGGGGCACACAGCATCCCAACAGCGTGCACCCCAACTTCTGCAACCCGCAACCTGAGCCAACCCAAACCATGGGCAGAGGAGTCCATTTCAACCCCAACACCAAGCAGCCTCTCCCTCTCCCTCCCCCCAAGCCCTCCCCGCGCCCACCGTGAGCGAGAAAAGGAGCTAAAAGTGCTACGTACAGCTCCAAAGCTCACCATTGGCGACCGGCCATAGGCAGCAGCGGCGGCGGCTGCAGCACTCATCTGCGGGGGGATGTTGTGCAGGCCAGCATAGGCACCAGGGCTGGTCAGAGAGCCATTCATCTCGTGGTGCCCCATCATGGCAAACGGGGCTGCGTAGGAACCCGCGATGGAGATGGGTGTCCGCAGGGCTGAGGCTGTGGGAGGGTGGGGGATGCGGTCAGGGGATGTGGGTGATGGGTGCGCGCCACCCCGTTCATCCTATCCCCAGCACCCTGAGCGGGGTGAGGTCCCAGGAACCCCCTAGGAAGCTGTGGTACCCACCCAGAGGGTCCATGCCACTTGGCTTGCCGGGCATCGGCCTCAGCCCTGGGGTGCTGCTTGTCCCTGGGGTCGGGGCATCATTCCTCGGTGTGGGAGTGTTGGACTTGAGTCCAGGCGTTGACGATTTGTCGTTCTGGATGCAGAAAAAAAAAAAAATCCAAAAAGAATAAAATGTAAAGGATGAAGTTCAGCTGCCAGGGGGTTTCTGGAGAGCCTCGCGGCAGGGCACAGCATGGCACATACGTGGCCTAAGTCTTTAGTCTTGGAGGAAGGAGTGCTGCTGGAGGAGGCGACCGAGGCCGGGCTGTTGGGTGCATCCCCCTTCTTCAGCCCACGAGCTTTGTCCAGGCCGTTCTCAGGCGGGGAGTGGGCCGGGCTGACCCGGGGGGTGGCAGGGTCCTGCAAGGCAGGAGAAAGCACTCGTACCACAGCACCACCCACGGGACCCCCGGAGTGGTGAAACCAAAATCACCCCTTGGCTCACCTCATTGGAGACATCAACGACGAGGTCATCGCTTTTGTCACCATCGCTGTCCTGAAAGACAGCATTAAGTTACAGCCCTGCAGAGCTGCAAGCCCTGGGGCTGTTCCCAAGGAGCTGAATCCCCCTACAGCACCCCCAGGGCACAGCGACAGCCTTGGCAAGATTTTGCCCAAACCCAGCCTGCCCCCACCCGTGGCGCTCCCATGCTGCACTATGCAGGCACATATAGAGGCAGCTCGCAGCCCTGGGCTGTGAGGAACCCCCCCATAGCTCACATATCGGCTCATGCTGTCCTTCTCCTCTGCTTTCCTCTTTTTGGAGTCGATGCTGTAGTCTGTGGAGCTCCGGTGCTTCTCGCTGGCTCTCAGACTTTCCGAGGGTGAAACTGAGTTATTCTGCAATAACAGTAAACGCATCTGAGTTGCATGCAAGAGGGAATGGGACTTAAGGGCACAGCCAACAGCTTTCTGCCCAGCACTTAGTCTTCAAAGCACCAATAGGCTGCAAAACCCCAGCAGTGGAGCAAGATCTGTGGCCCAAACCACTCGTCCTCACTGAATGTCACCTCAAGACGGGCTGCTTATGGACACATGAGCCTGTTTGCTACCAAAGCAGAGAAAGGGGAGGAGCTGTTTGTTGTCGAAAAGAGAAAATCCTGCTAGGAAGCAGCAGGAAATAGAGCAGCTCCCTGGCAGCTGCTGCAACCCGTGGAGGCTGCTGGTAAATACAGATGTGCCACCTACCCAACATGGTTACACCACCCACCCATTGAACCAACGCAGACCAACACAGATGCATCCAGCACCAGGCTGCAGCCCAACGGGGCTCTGCACGAGGATCTGAGCCTCAGGGAGCCTGCAGTCTTTGCAGAGCCATGACCTCCATCCCCAGTTTTTATTAGGGGAGCAAAGGGCAGAGCTGCTTTATCTCAGCTTCAGTTAAGCCAAGCTCTGCCAAACCAAAGGGCATTCCAAACCGTTTGGAAAAGCACATCAGTACACATCAATAGCCTTTTTCCTGCAGCCCAGCAATGCGGGCAGAGCTTTGTGCACCCGCTGGGACACATCCGACACGCTGCCTTCCCCAGAACAGCCCCAACATGGGGACGGAGCAAAAAAATGGCAGCTCAGAGCTGTGCCAGAGCTGCGGCCCTGCAATGAGCTCCTCACAGCCACAGGGGCCACGGCCATCACTGCATCTCATCACAGAGCACGCAGCCCCTGCTAAGCAGCCGCCTTCCTGAGCCCCTCCGCCCGCCTTTCTTCCCCGTCTGAAAGGGAGAACTAAAGCAGTTCATGTTTCTCCTCGCTACCCAATAAGCAGCTTTGGATAACACCGGGGTCTTTCTTCTCAGGCAGTCATGCTGAAAAAACCTCGCAGCTACCAGAGAATCATGTCAAGCATTTAGAGGCATCGATCCATTCAGCCTTCTGCTGGCGCGCCGCCAAGAAACTAAATATTTTTTATTGCTCAGGCAAGGCTAGGAAAATATGAATGACTAACGCTGATTATCGCACGCATTAAACCTCCGCGGGGAATACCCCAGCGTTTCATTTTATAGATTGGGAACGCTCCCATCCTTCACAGCCCCCTCCCCACGTGGGCAGGTTAACGATGCCCAATTCCCCTCTCCTCATTCAATAGGGCTTCTCTTCCCCCCTGCTTTCTCAAAGCCCCCCCTCCTGCAATACGGGTGGGGGGATATGGGCTACATCCCCCCCCCCCCTCAGCCCCACTACAACGGAGGGAGGGCCGTGCTGGGGGCAAAGGGAAAAAATAAATTAAAGGATCCAATCAGTGCTGGAGGTGATGGCTGCCCTCGGCCGTGGTTATTTAGCTGGTTAGTTAACTGCTTGACCTTCCGAGTCCTACTTAACGTGGCATAATAGCCCCAACCAGCCCGGCAGATTAGATGACCCAAGATAATAGAAGAGTGATCAGGAATAAAATAGCTTTCTTAATCGCCGACGGATCTTTTTACCCGCGCTGACTCGGCTGCGCCCATTCACGGCGCTCACTCAGTCGCGACCTGAGCTCAGAGCAGAGCAGTGGGGGAGGTCTGACCCCACGCATCTGGCATTGGGGGGGGGGACATCCCAGCATAGCCAGCAAGGGAATCTGGCCTGTTTCTCTCTTTTTTCCCCTAGGATCAGCCCCAAAGGTAACCCCTCGGGGCTCACACCCCTTGTTCAAAGGAGAGCTGAAACAAAACGGGCGCTCAGAAGCGGAGCTTTTGGGATGGGGAGGAGGTGCTGCACTCACCGCGCTCGAGTCCCGCTCTGTTGGCAGCGGTTGGGGTCAGAGGGCACAGCCAAAGCAAAGGGAAGAGAGAAAAATCACAGTTAGAATGGGTGCTGGAGCAGGGAAGCAGACACAGAGCCCCCGCCGCTGCCTGCTGCCTGCACCCAGGGCACATCCGGGCTCTCCAGCATTTCCTCCACTCCCCCTCCCCTCCTCAGCCACCATCTCCCCCCTCCCCTGGTAGGACACACAGCACATGGAGGCAATGCACCGAATCACAGGGGATGGCACCGAGCTGAGGCCCTTCACCCACAAAGTCACCAACGTGGCAGTGGTGCCCACCCCCACCGCTGTGGGATGTTTGCCCGTTGATACCCGGTATCCATGGGGACTGCTGGGATATTCAGATCCGTGCAGAGGCACGCATGCCACTGGATAATTGCTACTGATATTTTTTTCCTCCTTCTGCAGGGAGAACAGCCCGAACGCACCTGGTGCTGCAGGGGCACCATCGGGCAAAGAGGACCTTAATGGGAAGAGCCTGTATCTCCTTGTGCCAACACACAGGTGGCTTTGCATGGAAACACTGAACCCACGCAGCATTTTCCCCGTCCACAAAAGGCCCGTTTAGCATTCACAAGAGAAAACAATCAGGCATCCATATAGAGCTGCTCGGGGTGACCCCAGCCTGGGAGCAGGCAAAACCAAGCTCTCACCTCTGTGGTCCAAGTCGTGGTGGTTCTTCTCATCCTTGACGGCCAGGTGTGCCTGGCTGCCCAACGCGCCGAGCGCCAGCAGCCCCGAACTGCTGCCGGTGACGGGTGGGATGCCGGGGGGCTGCAGGCCAGAGGGATGCGGCGGCAGCTGGACCGGAGGCCCATGGGCGGCGTGGGAGAGGTGCTGCGCCTGGAGCTGCTGCTGCTGCAATGAGAGCAGCGGTGAGCGGGGAGAGGGCACGGCCTCAGAGACAGCAGGGCTGCATCTCCAGCTGTGCTCACACTCCGCTCGGCCGGCTGCAAGGAGAACTGGGTTAGCAGGAGGGATTGGGGAGGGAGGGGGGAACGGCCCCGCGTGCCCTGCACACGTGTGTCAGTGCGGTGGTCATCCTTCACTCAAGGCAATCCGAATTGCTGTGGCAGGTTTGCACCGTTTGGCTTTTCAATGGAAATAAGCCTAAGTGTAAACGCTGCCCAGCATGCAGAAAATGGCTCTGCACAGAGCATCCAGCAGCTGACACCCCAGGCGACCCTTTCCCCAACCAGGCATCCTGGAGCCATGGGTACAGCCCCATCCTCTGCAGCTGGAGGTGGGCATGGCGTGGGGAGGGGAAGGGAAAAAAGGAAGAGCATCCCTCATGCTGCTGTTTCAAGCGCCAAGAAGACAAACTGAACTGGAGCCAGTGGGTCACAGGTAGCAGGCTGCCTTCGGTGCTAGTTTCCACAAGCTGAAGGCAGGAGACAGCCCTTATCCCACTGCCAGGGCTGTGCTGCACCATGATGCCCAGGGAGCACAGGGTTCCCAGCAACGCACTGCAGCGCAGTCTGGTGCAAACCACAGCAAGATACCAAAAAAACCCCACGTGCATGGTTCTATAAGGAGGAGGCAGTGTTTGCATCCAGGATATTTCCAGCACTGCTGGGGGATGCACCGCTGCGTGCTCTGCAGGGCTGGGTGGGCCCAGCGCAGCCCCAAGAACGTAGCCCACAGCTCATAAAATGCAACAGGGAAATGCAAAGAATGGGGATCAGCCCGTGGGTGCCAAGAAAGGCCCATAAGGAGACTTCTGCACCTGCTGTGCCATCGCTGTGCAGGGGGAAAGTTCACACCCAGCTCCTTGCACACTGCTCTGTGCACGCTGCAAACGACCAGGACCTGCTGCAGCTCTGCATGGGACGCAGCTCTCTGGAAGGAAAGTCCCCTGCACAGAGGCAACCTCTCAGGTCCCACCCAGCTTCTGGCTCCAGGAGCAGCCCCCTAAGGCAGTGGTGCTGATGAGGATAGAGCAGGGTATGATCCACCCACCCCTGCCCACCTCCTGCACCCTCGTGGGAGGCACTGGGGAGATCCACCCAGGATGTGACCTGGAGTCAGACAGGAGCAAGCAGTTGCAGTTCCAGGGGGAGAAGGAGATGCATGATCCGCAAACACAGCTCCTTCCAGGCAGTGCAAAGGTCTCAGCTGTGGCAGAAGCCAGATCCAGAAGGCAATTAGACATCCACAGTGCTGGTAGAGAAAAAGCATAAGCTGCTTGGTCCTCTCCAACGCAGCTTTTTATTTTTTTGGCTTCTGCTGCATGGCGCTGCTCCATCCATGGTGCAGAGGGGGGAGCATCCTCAGGACCCAATGCCCAGAGCCATCCCCAGTGCTCCCAGCACTGCCAGATTGTGCCAACATCCCAGGATCAATCCTCCCCTTCTCAGGGCAGGAGGAACAGGGCTTTCTCCAATCCCAACCTCATGGTCTTTCCACCCATTTCAGCAAGGCTGAGGCCACAGTACTTGTGCATTCCCTTGGAGAGCAGCCCTGGTGGCTTTCCAGCACTGAGATCCAACACTTCCTCCTAGGTGGGCACAAGCAGGGACAGGGTGACCAAATCCAGGGAGCAGCAGCAGCATCCCAATGGGACAGCAGGCAGATTCCATGCAGCATCAAGGCTCACAGCCCTGCTACAGCCAAACTCAGGTGGGGCACAACAAGGATGGCTCAGCCCTTTGAGTCTTTCCCTCCAATGAAGCAGAAAAACACCGGTTCTCCCTTTTTAATTAAGCTAGTGGCAAACACATCCATCCTGCGGTTCGCTGAGCTGCCTGGGATCAGCAGAGGTGTGGAAATGAGCACCAAGGCACGACGTCCTGTGATGGATCCAAAGAACACAGATAGGGCATTTTCCTCCCCTGCAGAGGCAGGAGCAGCACGGAGCTGGCGGCTCAGATCCCTCCTGGAGGATGCAGAACGAGGAAATCCTGCACAGCAGAGCAGTGGGATGCAGCAGACCTCGGCGATGCTCCTCAGTTGAGAAGTGCCACCCTTCTCCAGCTTCCCTTCATCCCCAGAAAAGGTGGTTTTCAAACCCCACATCAACGGGGATTTCCCAACAGCACCCTGGGCACAGCTGCAGGAGCTCCATCACCAAAAAAACCATCCCCAAGGCTGCAGCCCCATAGCTGGAGCTACACTGCACTGGGGTGCCTGGTGCCAGGGGTGGAGGGCTGCAAGCCCCAGCTCTGCTTGACAAAGCACCACAGGAGTCGCAGGGATGCAGGGCGATAGCAGTCCTGCTGCTTCCAGGTCGAAGCTGCTTCTTCCAGCACTGCCCCAACATCAAGGGCAGACGCAGACCAGCGCTCTGTGCTTGGACATCCCACCTGCAGCCAGCGCTCAACGCCGCCTTTAAATCCTGAGACACCACCCTGCAGCACCTTGCTGCAACGGTGCTGCAAACCCAGCGCAGGCAGGCGGCCAAATTCTGCTCCCAGAGCATCTGAGGATCAGATCCCAGCCCACACCAGGAGCCGCGATGGATGCACGGCGCGGAGACGTTCGCGCTTCCCTCCTGGGGTCTCTCGGCGTGCACCAGGCAAATATGGGTAAGATACGAAGAGGTTACGGTTGATGAGAAAGGCTGGCAAGGAGTATCTCATACGTAGAGTGTTTTTAATTGGATTATGTACATCATGCTTCATGCCTTTGTTAACCGATTTAATGGTTCACCACTTAAGTTCACCACTTGCGTTAAATTTAGTAAAGTAGTCTAATCATTTCCAGAGCTATAACCAAATCAAGGGCTCAATTTCACAGAAGCCTGAAGCAGAGGAACTGTGAGACAATGGCCTAGATGCATAAAATTAACAGTTCTTGACCTCGAAAGGGGCGAAAAAAAGGTTTGAACGATTTGATGCATTTTCTTTTTTTTGCATGCGTCAATTTGGTTTTTGGCACCTGCAGCAGGGCACTGGGGCAGACTGGCTGTACACCTGCAGCACCCCCAGCACTGGGCTCCCCATAGCCCTGCCTGGACATTCACATCACTAGGATCACGATTACACCAACGGAACCCGACTGTGTGGGATGGGATGCCCATCACCATGCCCATCGCCATGCCCAGTCCCACCATGGGATGCCCGTTGCTGGGGGATGCTCTGGGCACACAGGGCCCAGCTCAGCTGCAACGCTCTCTTCCTCGCTGCCCCCAATTCCTGCCTCGTGCAGCTCTGTCAGGCAAAACGATTACATGGCTGGCTGCTTAACAACGGGGTGACACTCGTGTTAGCGCTGATCCAAGGAAGCAATTACCTTGAAAATGGGGGTCGCGAGCCCCGCTCATTTACCTTAATTGAATTCCAATATCTGCCTCTAGCTGCCTTGACTCCATGCTACGGCTTCGAGCAGTGAACCAAAGCAGAGCCTCCCACCCACAGCCACTCAGAGCACCCATTAAAATGGAATGATGCCTACAGAGCCCCGGGTTCTGCAGGGTGCACAGAGCTGCGCTCCCATCGCAGCAGCAAGGAGCCAGGTTCTCCCTCCACAGGCACCCAAAAGCACAGGTTAAATGCTAACAGGTGAAGAAGCCTCCTTGTACAGGGAGAAAAGAAGTGCAAATCACTGCTGCAAAAAACAAATGAATAATCAGTGATTTTGAAAACAGACACCCAATGCCAAAGAGCTCCCAAGGCGGGATGCCCATCAGGGATCTGCTATCCACAGTGAGCAGATCCAGCATGGGTGGCTTGCTGCACGGCCGAGGACACCGTTACACCACTCACAGAGATATGCAAACAGATTAGTCTGAAAACCCCTCGAGATCCACGTAACGCTCAAGTGGGTAAAGGTCAATGCATGGAACAGCTCTGCCACGCGTGCACCACATTTCACATCAACAGTACAGCAGAGGCAAACCCGGGCTGGGGGGCTGCGGGGAGTGGGAACCCGGCACAGTTCCCAGCCTGGGGATGTGGGTGTTTGGTGCTGGGGGCTCCCTGTGCTGCACCAGTGCTGGGGATAATTGGGGAGCGGAGCCACAGCATCGCTCAGTGCCAGATCAGGGATTGGGGGACGGTCGGATTCGGGGTGCTGCCCCTCCCTGACGCCGCCCGAGCGCAGGGTTGCCTCTGGTTATGGTAAATGATAGGAATAAAAGGGGTATACACACGGTGAGAGGCAGATTGGGAAGTCCACGTACCCCGATGATAGCATTCAACTCCGTCATTGTCACTTGCTTGGCACGTTCAACAGCCTGTGCAACTTGCTGTTGGTGCTGCAGGGACAGAGGCAGGCGTGTGGGTCAGAGCATGCGGGCACCGAGCTGGGACCCCCCCCCCACCCCAAGCTCCATTACCCCTACAGGTTTTGCCCATGGGAAATGAGCCCAGGGACATCTTACCTCTTGTGACAGAAAAGGCATAATCTGTGCTAAAATGGTATTCAGCCTTTTAGCAATTTCTGTCTGAAAAAAGGGAAGAAGAAAAAGCAACGGTTAGCAGAAAGCAGCCTCCTGCAATAAGCAATCATGTGCACCCCTCCCATAACCCCATCTACACCAAGGGAAACTGCAGCTCCCAAAAGAGGCAGTGAAAGCACACCTACATTTGCAGGGCAGGGGCTGCTCTTTCACTTTCTGGTGTTTTGGGTCCTTTCCTATCACAGGACCAAGTGTCCCCAGCAGCCTCACACCAGCCTGAGTTTGGGAAGGAGGACCACGAAGGTTGGGACTGGCAACGTGCAGATGCTTGCTGGGTACTTGCAAAGCTCCATCCCCAGCACTGCTCCACAAAGGACTGCTGCAGGGGAAACCCCTGCACACACAAAGCACCGAGTGCCTGGCCAGCACTGAGCCCCAGCCAGAGCCATGTGGAGCCTCTGGTTTGCTCTGATCTCATCAGGATCCTTCCCCAGCCCAGACCGATGCCAGAGTTGCTTTTGCCCTCCTTACATCACCCTCCAGAAATTTAACCCGTAACCATTTACACCTGTCAGCCTGACCACACTATTTAGGAGTTTAATAATAACAGCCCCGTGCTGTCAAACTGTGGTTTCTGCAACGTCTCCATTAACCCAGAATAACATTTTCATCTGGTTAAAAACCCAGGCACGGACTTGGGGTGAGGCAGCACCGCGTGCTTCAGCCCCAGGGGTGCAACTCCTGCAGGGTCAGGGCACCCAGACCACGGCTGAGGCCCTACAGAGAGCACCTCCAGGCAGAGCCCTCTGGGGGGCAGCTCCCCCAGAGCCATGGCAGTCCCCTGTCTGCACCCTGCTGCTGCTGTTAGAACATCCACTACTCCAACACAAGCAATTCTTAAGCAGCTATAAGGGTTCAGCCCACAGCGGCAGGCGGGAGCACCATCACATGGCTGCAAACCCTTCCCATCAGCACAGGCACATCTCTCCCACTGCGCTGCCTCTTCCTTTAGATCTCAGAGGGGAAAACTCTAATTCTGCATTTTGGGAGGGGGGGAAAAAAATAGCCAACTCAATAGCTCGACGTTGCTTTGAGGAACCAGGCAGAAGCAGGGGGATAACCATGCAGCACAGACAGCCCCAGGGCCCTGCAGCCGGCACCCAGGCAGCGCCTGTTTAGGCTTCAAAGCAGCCACAGTATTTCTGGCCACTAGCTTTGCAGAAAGCATCGCTGCTCGGGTTTCACCTGCTGCTTTTCTTAGCCCTCGAGGGGGTCAAGGGAATTTGCTGGCATTCTGCTTCGAGGCAGAGGCATCTCTGAGCTGTTCCATTTGCTCCAGGTGCATTAGCTGCAGCCGGGGCCATAATGGACCTGAATGCACAGACACAGCGTGCCCTGCACTTAGGATGCTCCCAGCACAGAATGGCTCCATCCAAAAAGGTAATGCTGCAAAACCCCTCCAAGCCCTTCAGTGCACCACAGCCCCACCAGTGCCTGCGCTGCCCACTGCTCTGCCACAGGGACACCTTAATGGCTGCTTTGGCATCCATACATCGATCAGATCGTGTATAAACTGTGCCTCCATTAAATATTTACGCCTTCTGCTGATGCCCGGCGGGTCGGGACGCAGTGAGCTCTCAGTGCTGCACAGCTCCTCCAGCATCACAGGGAGCAGCTGCTGAGGGCTTCGTGCTGGTGAGCTCCAGAACAAACCCAACCTTTAGCCACAGCCATTTGGGTGCAAATGGCAGAACCTCACATCCAGCACGATGCAGACGTCGGGGAGGAGGTGTTGGGTGCTCTCTGGGTACCACCAACCCACCCTCACTTCAGCAATCCATACCAAGAGCTCCCTCTGCTCTCTTGTCCCATTTTACCCCAATTTCCAGCCAAGATTTGGTGCAAAGCTTCACCTCCTGCAAAGCCACTTCCCACTGGGGATCCAAGAAGCAAGCGGGTGCTTCTGGCTAAGATACAATGCTTGCAGCCATGGATTTCCCCGTTCACACGAGATCCAATAACCTCCAAATGCCCACTCTGCACACGTGAAGCCCCACTTATCTCCACGAGATGCTTAATCGGTGGCAGAAAGGGCGGCCCTGGAGCTGGGGAGGGTTTCACCCCCAGCACTGCCCTGCACCGGGGCCCATTCACCACCGGGCAGCTCCAACCACGAAAATTCCCCATTCCCAGCACGGGGTTGCCATGGCGACCGCAGGCACCGCATCCCGCATCCCTGTCTCGGCAGCACCGCGGCACGAAGCGCCTGCTGCACCCGCAGCCAGTGGGGGAGAGCAGGGACCGAACCCAGGGAGGGGGGCAGGGTGGGGGCACTCAGCAGGACGCTCCAAGGAACTCAGGGACCTACGCAGGCTGGGACGCACGAGGCAGCCCCAGGCAAGGGCGAGGAGTCGGACCCGAAATCCCGACTAATCCCCATCCCATCCCTGCCAGGGCTGCGCCTCGCTGCAGGGAGCGCGGCCGGCTGGCACAACAGAGAGCACATGGATGCCGGCTGTAAATCAAGCACCGACCCCCACGCCCTGAGGGCAGAGAGCGGGCAGGCGCCGGCTGCAGGCACGGTGCTAAATAGCTGTGCCCCTCTGCCCTCCCCCTCCCCCCAAACCTGGGCAGGGCACAGGGAGGTTAAATAATGCCGGAGGGCACAGAGAGCGAGGCTGAGAGGAGCTGCCCAAAGGTCCAAGTGGAAACGGGACGCCCCAAGGAGCGAGCCACCCCCAGTGCCATCTGAGAAGGGATTTTGGGGTCGCGCCAGACCAAATCTCAACCAACTCCAGCATCAGGTGGGACAACAGCAGAGCCACGAGGCTGGGCGCATGGCACAGCTGGCCCGGCCCTTTTCGCCTTGGAGGCAGCACCGGTGTGTTCTTTAAAAGCACGATTTCGGTTTTCCAGCGCCATCCCAAACCCCAGCACAACAGGACGGACAGCACCTCACATCCCACCGCGGCTCCCAGGCAAAAGAACCACCACCCACCAACGCTCCTGGGGGAGCCCGGCGTCACCCTCACCCCAAACCCACCCAGCTCCCCAGGAAGACGCCCTGCCCCGCACACCGCCCCAACCCGCACAGGGCAGAAGGCCGGGCTCAGCCCCACCTCCCGCACGGCACCAGCAGCGTCTGTTGAAGCCGGGAGATTGTCTCCGTAAGCACATGGAAATCAGGCTCTTGAGCAGCGTGGTTCTCACTCCGGCACACAATTATGGGCACTTTCAGCTGTCTACCACTATTTCAAGTGCTCTCTCCAACCGGGCTGTCAATGGCATGTTGAAAGCTATTTGTGGCTGCTATCGTTATTAGCAAAGTGGAGAGAGGCGCTGATGAGAATTAAATTCGGGGAGGGGGCGCGGAGGGCAGAGCCCCCCCAGCACGGCGGCCCGCCCCTACCAGCTCCATCCGCTGCTCCCAGCGCAGGGTGCACGGGGCTCTTGGAATATTCCATAGGAGAAAGCAAAGGGGAAGCGTGGCTCGGGGATGCTCCGGAGCATCGAGGGCTCAGCCCCAAAACACAGCACTCCAACACGCTGCCAGCAGGTCCCCTTCCCAGCGCACGCTTCTCTCGAGGAAGCCCTGCACCCTCTGATCGCAGAGCTCCGGAACGAGGGGTCCCTCGGGGGGCATCGAGGAACCCAAACGGAGCTCTGCCGCTCAAAGCAGAGCCCCCCAGCAGCGCCGCACCGCCGTCACTTCCCGACTATTCCCCACATACGGAGTTGCTTATGGAAGTCCCGTTATTACTACTTTTTTTTTTTTTTTTTTTTTTCTCCCCCCTTCCAAAGAAACGAAAAGGAAGAAAAAGGAAAAAGAAAAAAAAAAGCCACCACCGCAGCCGGGGCGAGGACGAAGCGCTTAATATTCAGCGCCGAAGAGATAATCTGTTATATAAGCCCCCAGCCAGACAATCCCCTTTTGCTTAAAGATGAAGTATCCATCAATGTTTGTCTCGAGCAGATGTAATCACACGCAGTCAAGTCTGGAGGGCAGGACACCGCATGAATAATTCAGGCACTTCAGTCTACTTGATTGTGTGCAGATAAACACAAGTCAACCGCTAAGCGGGTCAGCCGGGGCTGGGGGCAGCGCAGCCATGGGGCTGCTGGGGGTCCCTGCAACGGGAGGGGAGAGCGGGGGTGCTCTGATGCTGAGCCCCCAGCCCCGCTTTGCCACTTGGTTCCCCCCCGGCACCATTAGGGCACACATTGATGCCGCCGCACGGAGCGCAGCAAAGCCGCCCCACCCGGCCCCGGCCCCCCCCCCCCCCCCCCCCGCCCGAATCAGCTCTCACATGCAAGCAACCCCCGGTGCAAAACATCCGGGAAATAACAACCGCTTCCAGCGCTGCCACCGGCAGAAAAGCTCCGTGCTTCCCTGCCTTATTTCGTGCTCTATTTCAACACCTCCGTGCGCTCGCACAGTGGCGAAGCCAAGACAGCCAGGAGAGAGCAAGCAACCCGAAACAGAGCACGGCAGGGGCTGGGCGCGCACCTGCTGGGATCAGCCCCAGGGAAGGCAATATTTAATAAAGAACAAACACCAAATACATTAATTAATCAACAAAAAGCAACCCTGAGCCAACGCCACCCGAGCGGCGGTCGCGGCCGTTGCCCTTTTGCAGCAGGGAGCACAGCCGTGCACAGCTCAGCTTTTGCCAACGCTGCTCCGGTGCTGCTGCCGAGCAGAGCGCTGCCGAGCTGCACTGCTGCCGTGCCTGCACTGCTGCCCAGCCCTGCCCTGAGTGCATCACCAGAACCGCGTCCGCCCGCCAGCGGCAGCGCCGGTAATCGGCTCTCATTGCAATAATAACTTTATTCCTTTAAGTT